TTGTTCCTGGGGCAGGCTTTAGTTTGGGCGGAATGCCGAGTTGGGTGACAGCGTCTTTGAGATCAAGCTCCTCCAGGAGTGCGCGGTTGCGCGCGATGTTGGCTTCACGCTCAAGTTCACTTAAGTTAAATACTGAGCATGGGACTGTGCGCAAAAGATGAGGCAGACTTACTATGTTGTTAATTCAGACATCGTGTACGTTTGGTGTATGCAGACAAGATCAATCCACTGGTGAGACCAATCAAACGCGTCGCGTGACGTCACTGTCACGCGCTTTTGCGTCACGACCCTTGGCTGCTCTTGCTTCAAGCTTCATCGATCATCCTTCACTGTTACATTTTCGATATCGACTACGGTACAGAAACTGCGGATACAATGACATGATCACAAAGAGAAATCGCTAAAAGAAACATGTAAGGCAGGGTCGTCAAAATGATGCAGGACCAGAGAAATATGAAGTTGCGCAGGGGTAACAGATATCGAATAGATATAATAACTGCGGACGTGACAAGAAAGCATGTGCAGGACAGCGATGGTATAGCCCGACAATGTTCTAAGATATCAAATGCAGAGATGTTTCAAAAAATCGGGGCGTCGCAAAACAGAAAAAGAAGGATGCTAGTCTCTGACGAGCAACAAGGAATTACTAGTGAAATAAGAGACATGTCTGGAGGCGGGAAGACCGGCTAACACACCTCAGCTCAAATGTATCTCCCTCCTAGGAGACTTCAAACACAGAAGTTTCAAGAAGCCTGAACTGAGTCGTGTCCTTCGAATTCTCGCTCCACCCCACAATCTCCCTCCAGTTGACCGAATTCGCCTCCTTCTCGCCTGCACCTGCAAAAAGCCCCACATCATCGTCCGTTAACCCGCGGAAGATTAGAAATAATCGCGTGAAGACGCAGGGGTCAGAGGTAACTGAAATGTCAATAGCGGCGGCTATCTTCGAAGGGGAGAGGAAGCGGTAGGCAATGTTTTTGTGGGCGGAAAATGCGGAAATGTTGTTACTGTATACGTCAATGTCAGTGTCAGCCGTGTCAGATGAATGGCATGGGAACACGCACTTGATGAAGTTGGTTCGCGCATGCATAGACATGCCTAGTTGGTCTAAGACGCTCATAAGGTGGGGCACGAAATCTCGGAAAGACATAGCATATCCGTTTCGGGGTGCAATAAAGTCATTAGGGTCGACCATGGATGGGTCAGGTCTGCTTTGTATAAGGATCAATGATCCAGTAATGAGAGGCATGGCACTTACACAGCTTCGTAATATAACGCCGTCGTAACCATCTCACTCTCAAAATGCTCGAGCGCACCACCAGGGTGAACACGCAGAAAATACTTCACTTTGGTTTCGTTAACTGGCTGCGCAGGGGGCCATGTAAGTTCAAGCCTCCATAGCGGGTTGACTGAGAGAATGACATCGCAATACTGCTGGGCGGGTGAAAGGATGCTCAGGTGGCATTTGACAGACGCAGGCTTGGCAGCGGTCGTAAGTTTACTCATGACACGCGAATCGAAGAGCATGTCGGGTGGAACGTCAGGGTTGACTATACGGGTGCCTGTGAAGTCGACAGTGTGGGTGCCCCCATCGTGCACTATGTTCAGCTTGCCCCAATACTGGCCATCGACGACGGTACCGTCTTCCATGCGGGCCATATCGACGTCGTCAGCAGAAGCAACTGTTGTTTCTAGGACCACGTGTTGACCGGGTACGAGCTCCAGGTTAAACGTGGCAGGCATTTCCGTGACCGGCGGCGGACTGAAGACATCTCAAACAGTGCGCAACTAACTCAAAAGTGCACTTACGGCGGTGGCCTATGACACAGTTAGCTTCGACTAGCTTATGATCACGGCATCAAACTTACGGTGGTTCATCAGGTGGCGGAGGGGCGTCGCTTACAATCTCCACCCGCAGCCCCTGCACACCCATTATCGCAATTTGGTATGAATCCTCGCCGGTCAACTACTCATGTCTGCCATGAGCAATCCATATCAGAAATAGATAACGATCACGCACATAGATATAGGGCCCGGATACCAGCCGCTGGCAATGACGTCAGAATATACCATCCAACCCGACGGCGCCAACTTACAGAGGCATGAAGGGATGCGAATTCAACAGGAACACGCAGGCCGAAGATGGCATCTGGGGGAGGTTTTGTCCAATCTCTAGCTACCGCTTCGAGTTCCTGTGCAGGAACAAATCAGCCGGACACGGGCAACAACCACCGCCACATACGGGGAAACTATTTGGTAGCTGTGGCGGAAGAAAGATGTTACAAGAAAATATGAGGGCGAAGGGGAGATGTCCGTACCACTCTGACTGTCTCCATATCCTCGTAAGCAAGCGTGAGGAGTCGCTGTCGTGCAAGCGCCATTTGGGCTTGCCTCTCGCGGAACTCGCTCTCCTTGTCGGGTTTTTTCTTGAATTTTCCCCAAAAAGATTGAGAGGGGAGACTGGCGCTGGTTGATCTGCATGAAGAAAACATTTGAAGGCTGATAATTGTGAGATCTGTAGCCTTTTCTTACGCTGGAGAGAGAAGCATAGCTGAAATAACGGAGGGCTGGGGATTAGAGTATGAGGGAAAGAGTCATGCCAGACTCAAAAAGGATTTTTGATTATTAGCAGGTCGAGAACACGCGATAGAAACACGAGGCAAGGAGTCAATTGCTGCAAAAGATAGATCAAGTCACCAAGCGCTCGAGTCAGTCCCAGGACCCGGACTCACGAGAACTTTCTTTAGCCAAGTTTGATGATAATCAATACCCACACCAGGTAACCCTTGGCCCGACGTCGATACGAGCCTGACAAAGGACTTCTAATGTCAAACCAATCATTCGATAATCAATGCCTCAGATGTGACTCGCACAACAAGCTGTGTAGATGCGTGGCACGTGGTGACAACACGGAACATCATTGATGTTGCACGCCCCAAACCGTCCTTTGTTGGCAGCCAAACCACACATCAAAATCATGTTTCGAGCTGTAGTGTGCCAGAAAAATCTACCAAATGCTTCACGATTCACAGTAAACCACAGGAATTTTGTTTCTACGGTTCTTCTCTCCCGAACTTGGGAAAATGAGACCATGGTCACTTTGCGTCATGAAGCGAAAACCCGAGGTCTTTCGACGTGAGTTACTTTCGGCTCCTACGGTCTATATTTTTTGCATTGTTCTCTTCGTTTCATTCACATGGGAACCCGAACTGATTGTTCTATCAGCAAGGGCAACAAATCTGTCATCATAAACCGAATTCAGGAGTACGAGGAATCTAGAGCTCTTCCTTTTTCGCAGCCTGCATCCGCCGCATCTCGCAATGTGTCTTCGTCTACCACTCCACCACAGGCTGCATCCCCGGGCATACCGCCTGCATCCCAGCCCACGAGTGCCTCAAAGACGCCCGACTTTTTCTTGGTCAGATTGCCCGACATCTCTCAAGATGGGCCATGCGAACCCGTTCAAGCAGTAAGTATTTTCTCTCTTTCCTTGATCGATGGGGCGGTCCGATTTAAGTTACGGGTCTAACGGTTTTGCTCCTCATCGACCATATCGAGTCTTTTCCACATGCAAACTCTTTGATATAACCTTGTATTTTCACATCTGATCATCATCCCCTCAGCCCTTCGTTCCCGATTTTTGGGATTCCTCCAGCCCGAAACCCGAGCCCATAGAGCCTTCTCACCCAAAATTACATGTCGTTTCGGGGTCTGCGACACATCCTGATGGTGGTCCCACCTACAACCTTGAAAAGCCTCAGGACGCGGTGGTTATTGAGGAAGTGGTGGTTATTGAGCCTGAAGACCAAGCCAAACCTACGATTGAATCTGGCTTATTTCGTGAATTGGCCAATGATCTTGGGCTGCCACGGGGTTTCCGAGTTGGCGAGGCGATCTCGAATGTGGTGCGGGCTGCCAAGGAGCAAGGGCCTGAACTGCATGCAAAGTCTAGGCCCCTCAACAATGAGCAAACCAAAGGAGTTTGGGCCTTGCTCGGTTTACTTGCAGGATCATGGATCGTTGGAGGGTGGGTGAATCGTGCTCCGTCGGTGCCTGAAGTGCATGGCACAGAGGAAGGCAAGCAATAGAATCACCTTTGAGTGATATGTATTGCAGCATCCTCTTACCTAGAGACTCTCCTATCTGGCTGTCAGATTTTTGACGTCAAGCATTTTTCTTGAAATATTATTCTCAACTCACGTTTGCTTTGCCTGAAGATGATCTATAAGCTGCGTAGATTGCTTCGATATTGCCCTGTTCATTTCTCTGATGAACTTTCAAACCGCAATATGTTTGACAGATATGGTCTCGCCAAGTCAGAGTCGGACCAATCAAAGGGTATATAGAGCTATTCCTCGTTCCTCATTGTTTATTTCAGGCCACACTCGGCCATGCGTTAACCGCGAGGCAAAGTAGTTGCACCATTGCTCAACTATCAAGATGTTGAAAAGACCAGTTGTCTTCATCTCAATGATGCTATCTTCATTCATCTGACTACATATCTGTCACACAAATGACTTTAACGAAGAACATAACGGACAACCCGCTAGCAGCAGGAGTGAATACACGATCGTCTCAGCACGTATATTATCAACCCTGCTGCTGGCTGGTTCGCATATATCGTGGATCTTCCTTTGTCTGAAAGAGCCAGAACTCGGTGGTAGTTCCGGCCGTTGGACGTCAATTTAATGATATTTTGGGCCACTCCATTTTGCTTCTAGTCGACCGGGCTCAACCAAAGGCCTAGCGCTGCCATGGAGGTACTCGCAAGCCAACCGATGAGGCAGGGGGGAGATCAGTACAAGAAGAAGATGGACGATGCGAACAAAGTGGCGAGGCTGGTGATAACTAAAAATATGCTCATTGAAGGTGATTTCATGGCCAAGGTCAGCTGCCGCGTAACATAACCGTTACACCAAACAATAGGAAGTTCAGCAAAAGTTCAGGTTGAAATTAGTATGGCACAACTCAGGCTATTAAAAATAGCAAAAGAGAAGAATAGCCCACCGCGAGGGTCGAACTCGCAGCCTTCAGATTACGTCAGATGGGATCCAACAATCGTAAAAGTCTGACGCTCTATCCGATTGAGCTAGGCGGGCGCCCAAAAAGTAACGTTCCTAGTGCTACAAGACCGCTTCAAACTCCGCTTTGGAACGCGTCGGTATAAAGCGCGTCGTGTCTTCGCGGGGATGCATTTACGCGTTTTCTGTGATTTCTCTCCCATTGGTCTGTTGTATGCCGTTCAAGGTATCTTCGTTGGTTGATGTTCGAACTCACAACTCGCTCACCTTTGACGCAGCCTAACTCAACCGCCTCCAAGGCGCCCGCTTCTAAAGCTGCCAAAGCACCTGTGTCGTCAGCGGGGCAGCAGAAAGCAGCTAGGAAGACATCTTCTAAAGAGGATGGGGACCTGAAAAAGAAGCGCAAGAAGGCCAGAAGGGAGACGTACAGCAGTTATATTTACAAGGGTGCGTGCTCAGCTATTCGCTTTCGCTTGCGCTCCAATGCAATAACTGGCTGACGTATTTTTTCTCTTAGTGCTGAGGCAGGTCCACCCTGATACTGGTATATCGAATAAGGGAATGGGCGTTTTGAATTCATTCGTGAATGACCTGTTCGAAAGGATCGCCACGGAGGCGAGCAGTACGTCATTTGTACCAATTTTAGTGTATGTTCTGACTGTCCTCCCCATTGTGCAGAACTCGCATCTTATACGAAGAAATCCACTATCTCCTCGCGCGAGATTCAGACGGCAGTAAGGCTCATTCTTCCCGGAGAGCTCGCGAAGCATGCGATTAGCGAGGGAACGAAGAGTGTCACGAGTGCGTGTTCCTTTTTTTTTCCCTTCGTGGATGCAAACGATATCATTTGTGGCTGGGTAGAATTCTCTGCTGCCAGGTGAGACGCGCAGTCACACAAGCCGCGGCATCGAGGTGAGCCGGGTCCGACCTTGGCGCATGAAGCATAGTGAATGGACAGATGTGGATCTATTGAATATATAGCATAGCCCATCTCGTGGATATTATACATACCCTCATAGTTATACCAGCATGTCCCTAACGTGATACATAATCGTTTCCAAGAACCTAGAAACCTGCAGGATTGATGAGTCGTGTGATGCAGAGGCTACAACACCGTAAATGTCACGCACCATATTTATTTCCTGCCTCTTTCCTGTTCCTGCGTGCTTGCGCAATCTTCTCCTCCAGTGCCTCCCGGTTGTGGTAAGCATCTGTGAGAAGGGTTGTCAATTGATGTCGTGAGCGGGCTGTCGAGCCTAGTTTTGCGCCCTGTGGAGAGTAGTATCGTGAGGAGTGGTCGGAAACATCAAAAGCAGCATACAGACCTGTACATTCATCCGTGGTTTTTCTGGCTCCCCAGTCTTGACGCCCGTAAGAGCTTTCCTATCCTCCCTCTCCTTTATCTCTTTCCGTGCTTTCTCCATCTCTGTCTGCATGTTGACCTCCGCTGCTTCTTCTGCCTCTCTCTCCACCTCGCCTTTCTCGAGCGCGCGGACATGGGCATCATATTCTCTCTGCCACTTTTTGACGAATGTGGCGTAGTATGCCTGGTCGTGAGCGGCCCAAGCACCGGAGGGGAGAAGGTAGTATCCGGGGTAGGGGTCAGTAGGTGTCGGAGGTGGGGGAGTAAACGAAGCGACATCAGGGGCAGATGAGACGGTTGGTGTGGATGTGCTGTGTATCGTGGATGTAGAGGGTACTGTAGAATTAGGTTTCGAAGAGGTACCTGCAGGGGATTAGGATGAGAAACGCATAGTCGCAGGGTACACACCAAGAGAGAAGAAGTTCACAGCGGGTGCCTTTGGCAGTGCTTGTGGCTTGGAGTCCTCACGATCTAGGTCAACGTTGGATTTGCCCTTCTTGAGCGAAGGGGGTAGGAAAGACGTGGATGACCCCTCGCCATCTCCTTCGCCATCGTCCTGCTCGCTCACTGGTGCATGGAATACTAGTCCTGGACCATTTCCGCCTCCAAGCATGCGTTCGGCCTTCTTGGGTTTGACGGGCAGAGGTTGGGTAGGCGCAGGTAGCATGTTGAGAAGGGATGACGCGCCTGCCCCTTTGCCAGATGTGATTCTGGGTTTCTTGGCTGCTGGTCGGTCGTCTGTATCAGAATCATTTGAAGGAAGCGAGGGGAGCGTTATTTCTATTTTCTTTGTGCGTTTTGTTTTGACTGATGGTGGTGGAAGTGAGAAATTCGTTGAGCTAGATGATTTGGGTGGAGGGAGAGAGAGGCCTAAGGGTTTCGATGGTGGTGGTACCTGTGCTTCTGCTTTGGCAGGGAGCGCAGTGGACGGGGCTTCGTTCTCGCTGTCGACGTCGCTGCCGTAGTCTTCTATGCCTAGCATACTGTGCTGTTCGTTGTGGAGAGCGATGAGCAGGTATTGATGTTTGTTTGTTTCACTTCCTCCTACAGACTGGATCAAACAGTATTGCAATTTGTATCCATCAGGCTCAAGTACTGTAAACTTAGGCAAGGATGGCGTCGCCTGCACCACGAAAAACGCATAGATACGCTACACCGCGTCAATCAGTGACGCCGCCTAGACAGCGCCGCATGGTCAGTGCACGCCCTGCCGGTACACCCTCCAGGCGCACCGAGGACATCACTGGAGTACAAGACGTCATGGACGTCGACGACTTGCAAATGTATAATGAACGCGTCCTGGGATCAGGGAGGGAGACCCTTTACGCGCGCACGGATGAGATCAGCGTTGCTTTCCATGCTGCACTCCCGTTTGAAGTCAGACGCGAGTTAAAGGGTGCTGGTGCGTCTGTCAGCTCGACTCAATTCATGCGAGCGCTGAAAATAAGTTTGGCCATTCACAGATTTCTATTCTCAATCTTGGACTGGTGCAGTTGATACCATCACGGGGTACACCCTGGCCGCATCTTCGAACACCTGCTTCGTCTGGCATCACACCAAACCAACTACATGCTACATCCTTCCGTGTCCACCTCCCCCTCGAGATTATGCACAACCACCATCTGCACCATTCCACGCTCTTGTCCCCTCCAGGTCACGCTCAGAACCTGGTCTCGTTCTTCTCTCCATCCGCGGTGACATCCGTTTCTGGGACAGTATAACCAGCGGTTTGGCAGGTGGCGGCAGCTTCGAAACCATCAATCTCGAGCTCAGAGAGGGAGAGTATACGTCTGGATTGCTTAGGGTTGATGTAGGTGCCTCAACACGCTCATGCATTTTGGGTTGACGTACACTCGCAGGGTCAAATTTACATTGCATCTACCTCGCATGGACGTCTATTTAGACTCACACTTACATCTCAAAGCGGGCGGCATACACTCTCAGCAAGGCTCTTTGCACCGCCGCCCGCACCTGGGCTCTCTCTTGCGCGACTCCTCTGGTCTACGCCTTCTCCCCAACCCACACTGGGGAATATATCTGCTCTTGCTCTTGGTTTTGTTCGTGGCGAGGTTGGAAGGGGTATAGCAGCGGACAAGGAACTATGGGCGCTCAGCGAGACCCGCGTGCAGAGGTGGAGCTTGAATAAGGAGGTGTTACTGGGTGAAGTGGATGTCCGAGAGGCAGTGGGGAACGTGGAAGATCTGGAGGGTGTTGATTTAGGCGTGGAGAGGTGCGGTTTCATCAGGTTTAAATATGATTTTAGCTTATTTGCTGACGATGCTGCGTCTACAGCGACGGGACGCTCGTTGTCCTCGTCTCATATGCCGGGTCCGAGCAAGAGACAGCTGCGATGGCGCTTGACCAGTACGGAGAGTTTGGTATGGGCGTGCCGGTACCGAGAAGGATTTATGCCCTCGTCAGACTTAGTGCCAGCACAAAGCAGGTTGAGGTGCCGATGTTTGAGGGAGGAGGTGGAGATGGAGGTGTGATAGAGGGCATAGGTGGAGGCATGAAGACAGAAGGTGTCACAGGGGTGCCATATGCTACGGTGAGCGATTACCTCTGGCCCTGCGCGAAGATCTAGCTGACAAGGGTGCTTACAGACAGCCGCATCGGCACCCTCGCATCCTCGTCTGACACTCCTCGGGGGAGGTGCAGTCGTAGCCATCAGATTCGTAGATGTGGTTGTCTTTTGTGCTCGGGGTACGTTCTAGTTTCGGCCTGCCAAAACCCAGCGAACAACTCTGACCGCTCCCGGGATAGACTCTCCCTACCAGGATCGCCTCACCCTCAAAGCCCCCAACACAGACCAGATACTTGGCCTCGGTGTACTCCCACTAACCCAACCACCAATGCACTCTTCTCCTGCAGAACAGGAACAAGGAGAAGGATCTGGGCCCGAAGATGTATTCATACTAACAGCGGGGGTCCTCATGCGTGCTCGAGTTGATTTGGGGAGGGTCGAAACATTCGATGAGGCGTAAGTCACGTTCCCCTCCTCCCATTACTTTTTTACTCCGTTTGCTGATGTTTAACTCCATAGAACCGGCCGCGCGATCCTCATAAGAGCACTCCTCACACAAGCCATACTTTACGGAAGCAACCCTGATAATCCCCTACATTTCTCGTTTCCGCCTGAGGTTGATGCTGAGGCGCTCATGACAGGTGCAGAGGGGTTAAGCAGGGCTGTTCTCGAGAGCGGTACGTGCATTTAATCTCGCGGCCACCTTGAAGATGCTGATTTCTCTTGCTGTGATTTCTGTCTTTCGTTGGCGTGACACTTTCCAACCGAAAAGACCCAGAGATTATTCGCCCAAATCATGACCTCACCTCTCAACTCACCTCGCGAAAAGATAGGCTCAGCTGGCTCATACGTTTCATTAACGACAATGCGGCACTCAGAAAGATGTCGCAGCGCAGCCGTCAGCGTCTTGCTACGGACGCGGAAAAGCTTTATGCCTGTCATCAGCTTTGGTTGAAGATGAATGAGTATTTAGAGTGCGCACTCAACCCAATCCTTCCTTTTTTTTTTACCACTCTGACTACATCCAAACAGCGCTGGGGCCTCTCACTCCCTCGTCACTGACGCCATTCACGCATTCACTGCCGCCCACCCGCTTTTACATCCCTCCGCTTCACACGATGTCGTCCGAGATTTTTTCAGATTCAGAGTAGCAGAGATTGGGCGCCTTATTCCGTTCATGGTCGAACAGGT